TTGTCTGCATATTGTAATGTACCATCTTGTATTAATACTAGAAAACCCTATAAAGCGTAGCTTTACATATGTGAAGTAGCAAGGTGAACAGTAGGAAGACCGACATATCACCTGGTTAATAGCTGACTTTCATCAGATTTGGAGGTACTAGTTGGATGAATAATAATTAAAATACATACAGTACCTAATGGCTGCCTCAATCTGTCGGTAAGTGCTAATTGCTGTCATTGAAAAGGCAGATTGTTTAAAGAGAGAGAGAGAAAGAGAAAGTCATTCTTCATTGAAGCTATCTCCCTGTATCATTGGGAGCCTATTTTTAGTACCTATAGAAGTCATGATTTTTGAATTTATTAGGGGCTGTGATGAATGATAAAACAAATCATCCATTTACATATCTTGACACTGCTTTGGAGAATACTTATTTCTTACAAGCAAGTGTCACATTAATATCTCAAAAAGCTATTCATTGTGTGCTAATCTTCTGCATTATCACAGAACTCTCTGATGTGGTATTTATATCAATAAATATTAATTTTACTTATTTCAAATGTATGAAATATCTTCTAAAACCCTATTCCTTTTATAATTTCTACCCTTACATTGTGTAGTTTTGCATTCAACTGCTAATTAAGATTAGGAGAGCACATTATAGAATATGTATCCATTTAAACCACCAAGCTTTTGTAATGCCTGAAAAATACCCAATATTTTATCTATTTTAAATGCAAAAGAGAGAAAGCATTTAAGAACATTAGTACATGTTATGTTTGTTTTCATGTTTTTTTCCCTACACAGTTCAATAGTTTCATTGATCTACTGTTTCTTACAAAAATCTGCCATGCTTTGTGAACTTCACTTTCTAATCTCATACAGCAACCCTTCCTTTATGTTATTCCTGCTCTCTCCCTGGTTCCCAGAACAGTAGGGTTGCCTTGACAAATCTATTCAAAAGCCATTTCGGCCTTTGTTGGTGGGAGGGTTGCCTTGACAAATCTATTCAAAAGCCATTTCTCGGCCTTTATTGGTGGGGACTGGGGCCTTTGAAATTCTCTCCTCACTGCAACACAGCTGACATCTTCTTCCAGACAGAATGAATTAAGGAAATACAATAAGACACTTGATCTACCAGTCAAGGATCTTTCCACAGTGAGGACGGATTCCATGGTGCACAACCAGGGCAGCAAGCATCTAAAAATACACAATACATGCTTGTTTACCAGAATAGCAATCACCGATTTTTCCAAAATGATTGATGGGATGATTTCTTTAAAAAAAAAATCTGTCTGGAAATTCATTGTGTGTGTGTGTGTGAGTGTGTATGTGTCTGTGTGTTGAGAAATGTTTTAAAAACTGTGTGATGATAATCACATATTTTTAGCCAGACTTCAAATACAGACTTAAAATGTATAGAAGGAATATAGATTATTTTATTTCTCTGAATTGTAAATCATTACCTTACATTGTTACTATTAAAAATTACCTAATTTTTAATATTGGAGGCTTTGTGTCCATAGACACACAGCTACAACTCACCAGATGGTGATTCTTTATAACTATTTTGATACAGACTTCATTAAAGCAGGTAAAAGTAAAAATTAAAAAATAGTATTTTTATATGGGTCAGATTTTGAGGAGTAAATACAAAATTCATTTATTCTGGTATTATGCAAAGAATATAGTTTAAAAATTGGCTATTCTTTCTTGTGTTCATATTAATATTTATTTTAATCTAAAAGTTAAAAATGGATACTTTTATTTTCCCTTAATTATAATACCTTTATTTGTTTACTGCTTGGCCATCTAAACTTCACTTGGAAATATATTGCATCATGGTTCATGGAAGGTTACATGTCATCTTATTTTATTTATTTATTTTTTGAGACGGGGTCTCCCTCTGGCACCCGGGCTGGAGTGCAGTGGAGTGATTTTAGCTCACTGCAACCTCTTCCTCCTGGGTTCAAGCCATTCTCCTGCCACAGCCTCCCAAGTAGCTGGGACTACAGGCATGTGCCACCACGCCTAGCTAATTTTTGTATTTTTAGTACAGAAGGGGTTTCACCATGTTGGCTAGGCTGGTCTCGAACTCCTGACCCCAAGTGATCTGCCCGCCTCGACCTCCCCCCAAAGTGCTGGGATTATAGGCGCAAGCCACCATGCCGTGCCCTTACATGTCATGTTAATATCAGCACAGATGATTTGCTGAATTGTAAAACAAACAAACAAAAAAACCTTTTTCACAGTCATGTTAATTATGAATAATTACTGACTGTTTACGTAAGAAAAAATGTTAAGTGTATTGAAAAATAAATTGAATACAGTCTAGTGGTTGATTTCATAGGATAAATTAATCTCTTCCTCAACATTTGGTCTTGGCTTAAATTGTATTTCAACAATATTGTCTCTATTACATTGCAGAACTGTTGTAATTGGGTCTCTAGCTCAGAACCATTAGACACATCAGTGGAGTCCATGCTACCTGATTGCCCCCGAGTCTCAGCAGGTATGTGTTTGATAAGAGATATATGATTGCTGTTGTTTATCAAGGTGAAAAATATGCTAATGAAATGTAGAATTCTATTTTGTGAATTAGTTTGTTTTTGTCTTTGAGTTGTTGGATGAATTATTGGTAATATTATGCATGGGTAGAATCCTCTATCACATATTTGTTAAGTAACTTAAAATGCTTACCAAAAAACTCGGTAAGATGAATAGGTGAAACAATTCAAGAGTAGTATAGACAACTGCTGTTGAAACTTAGAGAGATAAGACATACATACATGGATATACCTGAACAACAAGGATTGGGCAGACATACAGGATCTTTCATAGGATATGTGTCTCTGAGTTCCAACTCAATGGTATGACAGGCAGGCAATGATGTTGTGTGCCCTAGAGACTTTAGAAAAAAATATTTCATGTAAAGATTTTAGTTGCTTCTTGTGTTAGACAGACAGACTCTGGACTGTGGGAAAACGTGCAAGATAGCATCCTATGCAAAGGAGACAGAGCAATTTAAGGAGCAACAGCAGGAATGGATCTGAAGATGTTCACAGGGAACAAAGGCAAGACTGGACTGCCTATTGAAAGGGAAGAGGTGAAGAGGTGAGCACGTCAGGAGCAGCTGGACTCTAGGAAGTTTAAGGATAGCATTGATTTCCAGCCTAAAGTCTTTGTATTGGAGTTACTAGATAAGGAGAGAGAATGACATTTGTAAGCTTTCTGGTTTCAACTTTCACAGTTCTCAACCAAGTGAGCAGTGGCATCTTGTTATAACTGATAGCAGAAATGGGTTTGCTCTGGCCATGGGTGCTGGAGAATGGGTAAAAGTTTGGAACACAAACTACTTTATATTAACAATCATAAGTGATAGCTAATCACTGAGTACTTAAAGTTGAAAATATGTGTACATATTTGAAGAAAATAATTTGGAGAATAGTTCAGATTCTAGGTATAGAACTACTGTTACAATTAAACATCACTATCATTAATACCTAAACTTCAACTGAGTTTCACTATCATTATAGCTGAATTTTATAAGTCTGTAAGCCAGGGTTCAACCACAGAAACAGAACCACTAGAAGATGTATATGCTACTATACATACACATAGAGATAGACATATACACACACATACTTATGCACATATGTATATATGTGTGTGTTCTTAAATATTATACAATCAATTTTCATTATTTATGCTAGTTATTTAATGTGAAGTCACTAAAAACACTGAATTAGCAAATAATCATAGCTCCTAGATGAAATACAAGGCCAGGTTCCTGTGAGCTTCTGGTCACATTTTTGTCAACCAATCAATATGTAAACTTGTTTATGTGTGTTTTTGTTTAATGACACCTTATTTAATATATACTGTTGATTCATTAACATTGAGCTCATGGCCAGCAGCAGTGTAAGTCAGGCCTCAATGAAGCTTATCTAACACATATTTTCTCCATAAGGCATAACACAGCCTTCTTGTGCTTAGCAACACTACACAGCACTTCAGCACTACATTTGGGGGCTATTGTAAACAGTGAAACAGAAAAAAGGCACAAAAATAGAAAACTGTGGCACTAAATAGTCTACAAAAAGGATACTTATTCACAGTGTAAGAACTGAAACAAGAAGGCAGAGCATGAACTTGTTCAGCCTTAATTAAGAATGAATGACTCAAATTTTTCATCATTCTGCACATGTGCATTTTGCAAATAACTGCAAAAATGCCATGAGTATGGATTTTGGGGTTACAAATAAATTTTAGTGAGTAGGTGAATTTGTAAGTTTAGAATCCACAAATAATGAAGACAAACTGCATATAGGAACGAATTTGTCACTGGGACTTTACCTGAGGCTGGTTGAGCAATCTCTGTAAGGATGTTGACCTTATATCTGATGGAGGAGCTTGAGTTCACAGAGCAGGCAGTTGGTAAGGGAAGATGAATGTGAAGTGGCAGAGACAACAATGAGCTAGAACCCATAAGCGAGAGCTGGAGTTCAGGAAGGTAAGCTTAAACCGACGTCAGGTTTGTTTGTTTGTTTGTTTGTGTGTGTATGTGTGTTTGTTTTTCCAGAGTCTCACTTTATCACCCAGACTAGAGTGCAGTGGTGTGATCTTAGCTCACTGCAGCCTTGATCTCCAGGGCTCAAGTGATCCTCCCACCTCAGCCTCCCAAGTAGCTAGGACTACAGATACACACCGCCATGCTCAACTAATTTTTTTTTATTTTTAGTAGAGACGAGGTCTCACTATGTTGCCCAGGCTGGTCTTGAACTCCTGAGCTCAAGCAGTCCTCCTACCTTGGCCTATCAAAGTGCTGAGATTACAGGCATGAGCCACCACACCCGGCCCATATCAGTTCTTGTTGCTTCTGTCTTGTTGCTTCTGTGGATGTCTTGTAGAAGCCCTGTGCCCTTTGTCATGGATCTAAACACCTGCACCTGCTCCAGGAGTCAGAGCTGCTGAAGGAGAATTCACGGGAAGGTGGAGCAGATGCAGTCCTAGCTATTGCCTCACACCACAAGGCAAGCCAGCAGATAAGTGACAAGATGTGTGAACTAGAAATGGCTGCTGCTTCACTTTACCCCTCCAAATTTTCCACAAAAAAAAATCTCCCTTATGTACCATCCTAACCAGAAACAGACAGGAAAGGAATTCTGGGAAATGTAGTTCAACCTAACCAAACTGACACATTCAAAAGCCACCACAGTCCACCTCTTGCCAAGTTGGCACTGATGTACATTTCCTCAAAATAGACTTATTGTCCAAATAACGATGTTAATATTAAGAAAGTCATGCTTCCACCAAATATCATACAGCCATTGAAATGTACAATCGAAAACACACTACAAGCAAAAACACACTAATCCCTTCCCTAGAAGAGGGAACAGAATCCCTTTATTGTCCTTTGCTGATATTCATTCTTCTCACCCTTGGTACCCTGTAATTTAAATACTGAGAAATAAAAGTTAATTACTTTTGACAATGTGTTATATTAGATGATAAAGGAATAAGAGAGAACATGAAAACAGAAATATTTAACTTATAACTTATATGTATATATAAAAATATTCATATCAAAATAAGTACTACTACATGCTTTGTTTTTGTAACCAGTTTTGTTGGTATATACTTATAACTGGTATTTATAATTTATATGTAAGTTACATATGTAAGTATTTATAACTTATATACTTATAGCTGGTATTTATAACTACCTTTTTGTGTTACCCATTTAGTACAGATATACCTCAAAGATATTGTGAGATCCATTCCACACAACTGCAATAAAGCAAATATTTAATGATACCTAAAATAGTAAATCCTTTCCAAAAGGATTTCAAGTAACTTTGCCCCAGATTCATCAAAGGAATCACTGTCTCTGGCATCTATAGCCTTACAAAATGTGTATCTTAAATAATGAGACTTAAAAGTTGAAGTTGCTCTTTGTTACATGGGCTACAGAATGGGTGTTGTGTTAGCAGTCATGAAAACAACATGAATCTCCTTGTTCATCATCAGAGCTCTTGGATGACCAGGTGTGTTGCCAAGGAGCAGTAATATTTTGAAAGGAATCTTTTCTGAGCAGTAGGTCTTAATGGCAGGCGTAAAATATTCAGTGAACCATGCTATAAACAGATGTGCTGTCATCCAGGCTTTGTTTCGCCACTTATAGAGCATAGGCACAGGAGACTTAGCATAAACCTTTTTTTTTTTTTTTTTTTTTTTTTTTTTTTGAGACGGTGTTTTGCTGTTGTCACTCAGGCTGAAGTGCAGTGGCACAATCTTGGCTCAGTGCTGCCTCCTGGATTTAGGCGATTTTCCCACCTCTCTTGGCTCACTGCCGCCACCTGGGTTCAAGTGATTCTCCTGCCTCAGCCTCCCGAGTAGGTAGGATTACAGGCGCCCGTCACCATGCCCTGCTAATTTTTTGTATTTTAGTAGAGACAGGGTTTCGCCATGTTGGGCAGGCTGGTCTTGAACTCCTGATTTCAGGTGATCTACCCACCTTGGCCTCGCAAAGTGCTGGGATTACAGGCATGAGCCACTGCACCCAACCGATTTAGCATAATTCTTAAGGGCCCTAGGATTTTTGGAATGGTAAATGAGCATTGGCTTCAATTTATATCATCAGTTTCATTATCCCCTAACAAGAGAGTCAGCCTGTCCCTTGAAGCTTTGAAACCAAGCATTGACTTCTCCTCTCTAGCTATGAAAGTCCTAGATGGCCATCATCTTCTTCCAGTGGGAAGCTGTTTTGTCTACATTGAAAATTTGTCATTTTGTGTAGCTACACTCATCAATGGTCTCAGCTAGATCTTCTGGATAACTTGCTGCAGCTTATACATCAGCACTTGCTGTATCACCTTGCACTTTTATGTTACAGAGATGGCTTCCTTCCTTCCTTAAATCTCATGAACCAACCTCTGCTAGCTTCCAACTTTTCTTTTGCATCTTCCTCACCTCTCAGCCTTCATAGAATTGAAGAGAATTAGGACCTTGCTCTGGATTAGGATTTGGCCTAAGGGAATGTTTTTGCTGGTTTGATATTCTAACCAGACCACTCAAAGTTTCTCCAGATCAGCAATAAAGCTGTTTAGCTTTCTTATCATTCATGTGTTCGCTAGAGTAGCACTTTTAATTTCCTCAAGAATTTTTCCTTTGCATTCACTACTTGGCTAACTATTTAGTGCAAGAGGCCTAAATTTCAGCCCCTCTTGGCTTTTGACATGCATGTCATCCTAAACGGAATCATTTTTAGGTTTTGATTTAAAGTGAGAGATATGCAACTCTTCCTTTCACCTGAATTCTTAAAGGCCATCAGAGAGTTATTCATTGGCCTCATTTCAAAATTGTTGTGTTTCAAGGAACAGGGAGGCCCCAGGAGAGGGATAGGGACAGGAGAACTGCTCAGTTGGTGGTGCAGTCAGAACACCTTTCTCAGTTAAGTTCACTGTCTTCTATGGGGGCAGTTGGTGGCACCTCAAAACAATTACAGTAGTA